TGTGTAGCAGTCAATGTGTTCACCACATCAAACATTCTAATTGTTCAAAGTAGATAAATAACCTTAATTTTCTAATTCGGATCTAAAAATCACAAAAAGGGTCAATGTTTGTTCTTAATATATGTTGTTTTGTATAATATAGTGCGATTAATCGCATTAATGTCATAGTTAACTCGCAATTAATCGCAATTAGTCGCACATTTTATCTATTCTAAATGTCCCTTGATTTCTTTTTGTCCCATTATTTTTTCTCATTTTAATGCTCTTATCAACATGGAAAAGTGGATCGGCTTGCTTTGTGCAAATGTTGTTTTTATTGAAAAATCATCCATTGTCGCCTGGCTTTGACGAGGGGGCGGAGAATTCGCATCAGCTGTCTGCTTGGCCATCAAGTGGTATTTCAGACTGGATGTGCTGCGATTATAGCTCAGTTCACAACGACAAAACACACAGATCACTTTGGTTTTGTCAATGGAACCATTTGGCAACTTTTTAAAAGTAAACTTTCCATTAAGAATATTTTTGGCATCCATTTTGGCGTCTCGCGCTCGCCATCCACTCAAAACGTAACGTCTACTACTCTTAAACAAGTGTGTGCAGCGTGCCTGTTGTTTTGTTTCCGGTCTAGCTAGATCCGGTGTGGTGTTGTAGTTTTTCTAACGTTACTAGTTGTTGCAACAGCATGTGAAAAAAACCACAAAGTGTGCTAGGCCAAAAAGAACGTTAATCTCCCGATAAAAAAATTGACGCAGATTAAAATGGGTTTGCGTTAATGCCGTTAATAATGCGTTTAACTGACAGCACTAGTATAATATATGTTGTTTGTATAATATATGTTGTATGTATATCTGGAGTTTGTAACAAAAATAATTTCCCCCTGGGATTATTAAAGTATTTCTGATTCTGATTCTAAATGATTTTACTTACCTTATTTTTTCATTAAAGGACCAGTGTGTAGGATTTAGTGGCATCTAGTGGTGAAGTTGCAGATTGCAACCAACTGAACACTGCTCGCCCTCCAAGCGTGAAACTCGCTAACAACACAAAAGGCCCCCATCTAGAGCCAGTGTTTGGTTTGTCTGTTCTGAGCTACTGTAGAAACATGGTGGTTCAACATGGAGGACCTCATAGGCAAATAATATTTTGATTATTTTAAATAATTCTTTATACTAATACACAGCCCACACATCTCGTACTTTGAGAAACACTGATCTAAAGTAACGAAACTACAGCAATTCTTATTTTCAGGTGATCATACACTAATGAAAACATACCTATGGACATTATATTCCATATCTGCCAATAGATAGAAAATATTTCACACTGGACTTTGAAAAGATTTTAATCAAAGCAGCTATCATCCATTTTATTTTTATTAACAATGGATCACATGACTACTCCTATGTGAAAGTGGTTGCTTATAGTGATGAACCGACAGAGAATTATCACCCAATTCTGCAGTATCTGCTGAATGTGTAGATAAGGCTGTTTGCTAACACATTAGCCATATCACACTAAAAGGAGAGGTCAGTATTTGAGTAGTATATATTTCATAGCTTATTTCCGCTATTGCAGGTTTAAGAAAGAGAATTAACATTAATATTAATAAAATAGTTGAAAGTGGAAGCTTTAAGCTAAATTCTCTGAAAGTTTCACATGCTGCATGACGTATATCCACTGTAGGCACAAAAACTAAGCCTTTTAACTTGGTGGTGTTTGTTTTTAAAGTTTGGCTGAAGGAGCGCATACCTTTAGATGTAGACCTTTTCAGAGGATTTTTAAAAATGTGACAGTCAAGCTGAAAATGAGACGACTTCTTAGCTTGGAGGGATTTCAGAGAATCTTATATCCATATGCAGTCTCCAGCCTTTCCAATATCCAGCTTCTTCACGTTTCGAACATCTTTTGTGCTTTTCCGTCCTGTTAAGAACAAATATCCCATGCTAAATGTTTCATGTGAGCTGTGCTGCATGAAGTTTGTCATACACTGATTCTAGTTTGGCCTACTTGGCTTCACTTTGTTCTACTTTGAGCCCATATTATGCAACAGAAAAGAACTTTTCAGAAGATATTTCAGGAGTAGTTTGACAAGTCATTTTTCTATCTGGTTATCTAAAAGGTCACACATGTAGAGGCTTGATCATACACTACCACAGCTTTGGCACAGCGATGACCCGTTATAATAAATCTATTGTTGACCGCACCGAGGGAACAAGGGCTGCATTCGCTGACATTTTTTACATTGACATTCAAACTCTACTCTCCCAAAACCTGTATTTGGCTGGCTAGAGGTGGATGTGAAAATTCACTTTCTCCTTTGTGGATTTAATCTTCATTTCCATCCTCTCACCTGCCACCGCCACAATAAAACACCCCCAAGCACGACATTCATTACAGAATACATTACTTGTTTTCACAGTGAAACTGAATGCTCAGCAGCGCAGATTGGCACAGCGTTCATAGTCGTGAGTCATATGGAGGCGACTCAGGCGGGAGAGAAAATAAGAGGTGATATGAGGGAATGTTGTAAGTAGGCTCACTAATGTGTTGAAGGTATTAAATGAGCCTTACCTGCTTATATGTGTCAGGGGATATATAAATAAACACACATTAAATCAAAGAAAAAATGCATTTGATATGAATTTGTCGCAAGGAGCCAAATATGAAATGATTTAGTTTGTCAGCTACTTCATACAAAATGATACAACTGTCTTTACTTCGGGCGCCTTGTATGCATTAAGTTTGTGATTAAGAGACATGTAAGTTAAAGAAGGATTCTGGTATCTTTCAACCTGGGTCTCATTCTAACAACTGTGGCTGATTGTGCGTTAATACGACTCCGGCAAAACTATGTATACAGCGACGAGCTGCACACGCCTCCCAAAATCTTCCAACTTAAATTAAATCTTATAAAAAATAAAATGGTTCTGAATTAAACAGGAAAATTAACTTAGGAAATCTATTAAAGCTAGCATAGGGATCTGCTTAAAGGTCCAGTGTGTAACATTTAGGAAGATCTATTGGCAGAAATGGAATATAATATCTAGGAAATATTTTCATTTGTGTAAAATCACCTGAAAAAAGGAATCATTGTCACTTTAAAATGAGCCTTTTTATCTACAGAGGGAGTGGGTCCTCTTCTACAGAGGCCACCATGTTGAATTTCCATGTTTCTACAGTAGCCCAAAGTTAAATACCAAAGTTTATCTCTAAATGAGTCTACAGTGGCTCTGTCAAGGTTAGTGATTTGAGCTTTGTGACGACTGTTTGAGCAGGTCTCTCCCTTAAAAGAGCCTGGTGGATTGAGTCACCTAATCAGCCAGGTTAGGTTCACCTGGTCTGGTGGCAAGTCTTTTCTATGTAAAATAAACTTATTTTTAGTTACAACTCGTGCGTTTTCCCCTTCTTTGTCCAGCCTTGAGCCGGGTGGTGACAGCATGCTAACATGCTCACAGGGACCATTATAATGTTAATATGCCAGGTTATGTTTACAATTATTGCCATTTGTACAGTATTTGCATGCTAACATTTGCTTAGTAGCTCTAAACTAAGTACAGCTAAGGCTGATGAAGGCTTTAAGATTAAGCTGATCACCAAAGTTATGACAATTCACTAGTTGTATGGGTAAAGTGAGACTAACAGTTGTTTGAAAAGCAATTATGTTGCTATATTTCAATGTGTTATGCCTAAAATACTCAACCAAAGTTAGCCTGGTTTCAAGATGTCTAGACCGCTTTTAATTTGCACATCACCAACTCAGTTCTTTCGAGGCGAGTTGAGGACAACACTGAGAGAGTGCAGTGAAAGTTCTAATTGTCAAATCATTTTTTAGGGTCAAACCTGTATGATCAGGACTCCTTGACCTGTCCAAGCAGAAGTCAGGGAGGCTCAGCTCACCTTGGCTGACCGACACATGTCTCTCTCCCCCTCAGCATTCACCTTTTCTGTATTTATTAAGGACAGCACACGTCAATCAACATTTCTGGCTGGCTAATTTTCAACTGCATACCTTTGGTGAGATGTTTTGAAATCAGTAAGGTGATGGTTAAAATCAAAACAGCACTGCAATAATACAGCAACAACAATATCTGCCACATCCAATAGTCAGTACAGGTAGGTAGGCATGCAAGCAAACAACAACACACAGCCGAGCAACATTTTAACCATTTGTTTGACACATGCAAATAGGCAGAGCAGCAATAAGACATAAATAAAATAAGAAAATCTTAACCCAGAAAATCAACTATCTTTCTCGACTCTGATTGGTTGATTACGTTCAGGCCCGGTGGATTCTTGCAAATGCCACTAGGAGGAGCCAGAGGAACCTGATCAATTCACAGATTATCTGTCTCATGTACTGCTGTCAGGATACAGTGAAAACTTCAACAAATATGACAAAAAGTTATTTTTTTATAAAAGTTACCTACTGCAGCTTTAATGTCATGTCTAATATTTAAGCCATGCAGCACAGACCACACTGTTAATAAAACACTTTGTACATACCCAAGCCATACAAAGCGGACCACCTGGCAACCAGCAAACCCTATAATTTGGTTGTTTGCTCTGTCTATTTTGTCTTAGTTTAATTTCTCTTTTGTTTGAGTCAAATAAACTCATGCATGGTCTCCCTTCTTTGTCCAACCTTGAGCCATGTTATGACAGAATAAATTATGAGATGATGAACTCTTCTGTTTGTTTGGGAGTTCCTTCACAGACCCTTGAGAATAGCTGGAATTCACTGAATCCTACTCCGTGTACATGTACCATCTGAATACAACATTTTGTATTATGTATGATGTGCTCAGGCATCAAGGAAAAACGTGGAATTCCTCATATTCCTGGAGGAAATACACAGTGGGATTACACAACACAAGTTGCAATTCCAGGAACCTTTTTAAGATATATAGTTCATCATCATACATTGTGCATTCAGCCATGTAAGTCCATACTAATGCACACAGGCTACATATACACATCCACTGACAAAGAAATACAAGACATTTGACCATGGGAGCAGAAACTGGCCTGCATTTTAATTGCAGAGACAAGGACAATTGGCCTGTCCATTACAATCAATGATCACATTGTATTCTATGCAACAATAAAGAGTCACAAATAAACATCTGCTTCTGACATCATATAACACAAACATAAGCTATGTACGCTGGGGAAATAGTACTAAAAATGATATACAACAGGTCTTTGTTATGTTTTGGTTGCCAACATGTCTGTACAGTACAAAGGCCTTTGGTTGTTTGGCTTTTGGGAGAAACAGGTTACAGTGTTTTGCTGTACATTGACGTCATCACACAATTTTATATTCAGTTCCAAGGCACATTGATAAAAGTAACTGCACAGAAAAGTACATATCCATGGCTGCACACTGCCAGAAACAATTATGTAAGTTACAACCAGCTTGGCAAAATTTTGGCTTAGTCAAGATTGAAAACCCACGGCCAATTTCATTTCTTCGACCAAAATAATGACTTATATTTGCTGCTGATCATGACTTTAAAAAACTACAACCCAAACTCAAGTAGATCTCTGTACCTTTTTTTTTTCTGAGACTGCATCTAGTGAGAAGAAGAAAAAAAAAGGTGGTACCCAGTACGTGTGTAACACTGGTTTTGGCTAGTCAGGTGACACAGGCGGTGGGATATGCAACACGCCACCCCCCCCCCACCCCATGCAAGAACAAGCAGAGGATACCACAGATACATAGATTTAGTATTGAACAGTGCATCCTCAGGAGTGCACGTTCTAGCCCTTCGCAAATCAACGTACGTCTCGAAAAAAGAAACAGAGCGCAAGAGGGCAGCCGTTTCCGCTTCTGCCTCTCATCTGTACACTGTATGGAGGTAAGAACAAGCCAAGCCCCACGTCAACCCCAATGAACTTTCTCAGAATATGACCTAATTTCAGAGATATTTAGGTCTTGATTTCTCAAAATGACAAAGGAAGCAGCTATTACAGGCACCCTCTCATTGCCTCAGCTGTCCTGCGCTACATTTACACTGGTTTGGGCACAAACTGTCTTATCAACATCTATTAAACATCAGAATGATCCATTAAGTCCATTAAGCATGTCCAAATATCCAGCGGCGGTGGCAGACAGAGTGTGTTTCCTTCAGTATGGTTCTGTGGATTTCAGCTCAGTTCAGTTTGGGTGGGTGTAAAATGTGTGTCAGCTCATATTATTCTTCACCAGCTGTGCACGCGAAAGAAAGAAAGAAAGAAAGAAAGAAAGAGGAATAGATAGAAAGACAGAGAGAGCAAGTAAAGGTAATTAGCTATGGATGATGAGAGAATAGTTCTTGCACTTCAGGCTTGAAGGCGCTAAATACCTTAACTGTAGTGGGTGAGATTGTGAAATGCGTTTCTCACTGTGACACACACACATTTGGCACAGACGGCACAAAAATAAAGACATACAGAAAGATATTGCGTTGTTGATGATTCACATGAGTCACAGGTTTTCTTCATATGGTAATCTAATTACAACGAAAAACTTCAGTTGTGGGCACGTAAAGCCTTTGGACTTGTGCTGTGTAAGATTATTACACACGCACGCACACAAACACACAGTCCACTGGGTCAGTATGATGCAGGATTGGTCACCCTTATCGCCTTCTGCATTACTCAGACAAGGGTACAAGGAGCCCGCGTCTGTATGACACATTGTGGGCAAGACTAGAGAGTACCTTTATATTTGACTGCTTTATATAGATGGTATGGAACTCTACTGTGCCTATACATGCATGCCCACAATTGTGTGTGGCACTGTGTGGTGCTTGACCTGTGAGTGAAAGTGGGCCTGACCCTGCAACAGATAGTCCAACTACCAGTGACAGCACAGAGAGAATGTCATGACAAATTATAGGCTGTGTGGCCCACTACCAACTGGGAGGCAGTGTGTGGGGGGCACATAACAATTTTCTGCAGTAACCTCCCAGGACAAGCCCTGTCTGGTTCCTCATCTCTCTTGATTGCACTGATTGATGGTTTCTGACTTGACTGATACACCGGGACAAAGTGAATCTGACACTGCAGCATATGGTGGGTGACCTTATTACTACAGATGCTTTGCAGTTGTTTGACAAATCTCCCAGCAACCAGGTGTGGCTCCATCATGGAGGTCCGTTGGCAAAGTCAACGGAATAGCTGTGTGCCGTGTATGTGGGCTCATTCAGTTAGCATTAATGGAGTGATACGGTTTCCAAATTCAGGTTATTGTGACAAAGTCTTTTGTTGTAGCTCCTTTGGCTCTTACTCGACTGGGAAGCTGTAGCTTAGTGGAGGCCGCCAAGTTAAGCAAATTGGTATTGTTTTAGCCAGCTAATTAGCCAGCAAGCTAATTTATAAAAGATTATAATGACGCCAAATTTAGGTTAGAGTTTGATAACCATATATCTTCATTGGAGCTGTATGTAAAAATGAAAAGACATTCCGATTCACAGCAACGATAGCTGCTGGCGGCTCTGTGGCTGAGTTCAATGCTAACATCAGCATGCTAACATGCTCACAATGACAATGCTAACATGCACATATTTAGCAGGTGTAATGTTGACCATGTGCACCGTATTTATTTAGCGTGTTAGCATACTAACATTTCCCAATCGGCAATCAACACAAAGTACAGCTGAGGCTGATGGGAATGTCATCCGTTTCGGACCAAAACATTTTAAAATATCAAAATGTACTGGGCAAATAAAACATTTGACTTGACGATGGTTCTAGATGAAAAGTTAAGGGATCACCAAAGTCGTTAAGGTTCATTCTGTGGGGACCATGAATGTGCATGGCTCCTCCATGATGTTCCACTGATTGATTGATTGATTGATTGTTTCATCAATCAATCTGTCATCCTCACATTCTTGTTCGTCACAAGAAGCCACAATATATACAGAGTACAGGGATATACTGGAGTTGTTTGCACACTTAACTATAGCTGCCTGCTTATTGTTGACTGTTGGTATACTGAATGTCACTGAGAGACGCAAGATACATTGATTCAAAGTCATGATGTTTTTTGTTATAAACACTTATAGGAGAGTACAATTCATTAACAATAAGTGGCCTTGGTAGAAATGTAGCTTGTGTCATATATGTGTATATAAATCAACCCATGTTGATCAGGGTTAGCTCAGCTTGGTATGGGAGACTAAAATTGTACAACAGGAAGTCTCTGTTACAAAAAAAGGAGTTTGAAAGACGTGGGCATTTAACACACCAGGAGGGTCTGATGAAAGATGCTATCCAGTTGCTCGGGAAATGTAGATCCATTGTTTTCGGGGCATACTAGGGACTAAATGCTCCTGATGCTTCAGCTTTGTATTCTTTTAAAATTAAAAGAATACAAAGAATATCACTGCAATACAGCTTTAAGCTTAAATGCAATGGGCTGTGGTAGGGTGTGATTATATATATATATGCATTTATTCTGCCTACTTCAAGGTTTCTCTGCATGTGTTGTATTCTTAGTAGTAACAGTAGTGGATACAATACATACACAGGCTTTGCTTCGTTCTATCTCTGTATCTCCATATTCCCCTCTCTCCCTCCCTCTTTTGAGTACATGACACATTTTCCTGCCTTCTGTGAAATTTAGGCATTTTTGCAAGCACATACTGGCTGAACCAAACTTGAACATGAACTCAGGAGGAAATCGTACATTGTCAAAAACACAGCACTTTACAAGTAGAAATGGGCTCTTTACAGTGGCACTGCCGGCACAGGGAGCAGCTATTGTCAAGACCAGGATACAGTGAAGTATAAAGTACATACGATGTGTTTCATAGAACATAGTTTCAGAGCTGATGCATCACGATACAGAATATTACAGCAGGGATTGCCTTTATAATTCATTCATTTTGTTTAGAACATGGAGTCATCCATGTGCAGAACTTTCCCCCAGAGGTTGACGAAAAATTTTGTATATACAAAGTCAAGCTGTTTTAAAGGAAGCAAGGTCAGAGCGGCTGCAGGGATGTTTTCCCATCCTTCCACTTAATCAATAATCTGTGATGTTAAATTCAGAGTTTACGGATCAATGCAGCTCCTCCCGCCGAGATGCCAGCTGGAGAGGGAAAAGAGCATCCTTCGTTTTCTGGAAATGAAGATGTCGTTTTAGGAGGGCGTTGCCATTTTGTTGCCCTGTTGATTATGTAAGACCAGACTAATCAGCTGGTATGAATAAAACATGACCATAAACTATTTAGGGTTGTGGTTTCTGATGTTTCTCTCTATAGAATCACAGTGCTGACTGTTTTCTAGTATTTCCACATTCAGAGAAATCAATGCCGACCCTTCATAGCTAAAAAAAAAAAAAAAAACTCCGTCAAAGAGGGCATGGGTGGTGCTCAATCCTATCAGATCTCTCTACCATGGGTGAACTAGCCCTGATACTTCTCCAGCAGGTCCACAGCTATCCACTCACCGGTCCTTTGTCTTGTTTCGATTTTGATTCAGTCTGCATGTCTTCTGACAACTCGATAGAAACCTCAAGCTGACCAGCATGAACTCGTATTTATGTTTGATTTCAACATCGTCTTGTCTCTACTGAGTAGAAAATCACTTCAGTCAAGATACAATTTTGCTCCGCCTCAGGGCGAAACAGCTCAAGTTGCCTCATTAACCCAAATATCAAGAGTTTTAAGCTGGAGTCAGTGTACTTTCCCTGACCTCTGGAAATTGTTTATTTTTCACTTGGATTTTGTTCATGTGTCAATGTCCATGAGCAGCAGCTATTACATCATCCTCCTGCCCCCGCAACTTTGAACAGGGGTCACTAGCAGTGCAGTGGCGGCCCATTAGTCTAGAAGCCCCAAGCTCAGTCTCTCTGGCCTCCCTGGATGTGACAGCTGCTCCTTTACTCTCAGATGCTGGTCTGAAGCTCGCCATTGAGCAAGGCAGCATTGTGAGTCTCCAAGTTGGCGTTGATGATTGCCGCATCGTTAGCCATCCTGCTCCTGTCTGCCCTGCTGTCACTGCGCTCTATCTCGTCCAGGCCTGCCACCTTTTTCAGACACAGAACGTTCTGAAAGCTTTTCTTGAAGTTGTCCGACAGGAAGGCGTACAAGATGGGGTTTGCGCAGCTGTTGGCGTAGCCGAGCACCACCACAAAGTCAAAGGTGCTCTTCACAGCGGAGGTCGGGTTGATGGAGCTGGTGACTGAAGTGACATTGAAAATGTAGAAAGGCAGCCAACAGAGGACGAACACCGCCACCACGATGGACACCATCCGTGTCACCTTACGCTCAGAGCGTTTGCGTTTGGTGGAACCCACTCGAATGCCAGACGACTTAACCTGGCAAAGGAATGAACTGTCAGTGCATTAAAATCTCCCAAATATAAAAGCACAATGTTCCCACTGAAAGACATAGAAACTAGAATATAGATATGTAATATGTACACTAAAGCTCAGGTTCACATAATGCATTCTGTGGAAATGAAAAATAAAATCTATTTGCTTTTTGCCAAGAGTTAATTAAGAAGATTGATACCACTCTTAAATCTTTTTTGTAATATAAAGCCACAATCTGGAGACGGTTATCCTAGCTTAGCATAAAGACTGAAATCAGCTAGGCTGGCTCTGTCTAAACTGGTAAAAAATATCTGTTCCATAACCGAAGTGCAAAAACATCATATTGTGTTTTTATGTAAGGTTATGTACTGGACTATTTCTTGGCCAGTCGCAGTGACTTTAACAAGCAAGATATAATGTGTTAATTAGTGAGCTTTAGACATGTTGATGCCAAGTTGAGCTAGCAGTGGTGTTTTCATCTAAGTCTTGGCAAGAAAGCAAATGTATTTTCTAAAATGTCAAACTATTCCTTTAAGAGGCAAGGAAACAGTTTATGATCTTGACTATTAGAATTGTAACCAATCAATGTGTGCTAGCTAGCTTCAGTAACATCTAAAGCCAGATGGCTATCATACTTCCACATTGGATGGCAATCCAAATAAATTAAATATTCTAGACCCGTAGCCAGATATAAAAATATTTCCTCATGCAGTGAATAAAAAAATAAAATAGTTATCTACAAAGGAAATTAGAGGAAGTCTGGTGAATAGCTTAATTTAGCTGCCAAGGAAGATGAATTGCCTTTGTAGTCTTAGTGAGTATTTGTTAAAGCACCTCTGACATAATCAATTATACAGCAGGTAAAATAAGTTTTGAACACGTCACCATTTTTCTCAGTAAATATATTTCTAAAGGTGTTATTGTCATGAAATTCTCACCAGATGTCGGTAACAACCCATGCAAAGAAATCAAACCATAGATGTCCATAAATTAAGTGAAAAATTGTGACGTGTTCAATACTTATTTTACCCGCAGTATATATATATATCATATATATCATATATGATATATAACAACAAAATAACAACAAAATATTTCAGCTAATGGTTTTTTTGTTTTCAGAACAAAGCTATTGTGCAGGATCCACCTTGACCAATGTGTTTTTCTCCTTCATTTACTTTTCATACAGTGGTCCTGTTTGTTGCTTTAGGTAGTTGCCAACCCTCCAGAGTCAAAATTTTTCAGTGCCCCCTTCCCCCTGTCCTGCAAACTCCACATTCAGCAACAAAATTACTCCATAAATTCACTAGAATACAGGAACACAGCAGTCTCTGAAATGAACAATTTTCTGGTGGAAGATCCCTAAAAACTCTGGTAAAGTTTGCTCTACTGATGTAAGCTGTGATGCCTGGTTGTTGACTAATATGCCGATCGACCATACTTATTCATCATTTACCATGAATATTGATTCGGCTTTTCAACTATAAATGCTTTAAAATTGTGAAATTTACTGGTGAATCTTTCAAACTAAATTCCTGGGTGTTGTGGAGTGATGACCCCGACCCCTGCGGTGGGTCATGTCATAGCACGCCTACTCATAAAATGCACCAACCATACTGATACCAAATCTTAAAATAAAAAGTTGGTAGCCCTGGTAGAGGCGGGTCTCACCTTGACTATGATGAGAAGGTAGCACATGCATATGACTGTCAGCGGCAGGAAGAATCCAATGAAGAAGGTGTAGAATATGAAGGATTTGTAATATACATCTTGCGGCTCCGGCCACACGATACCACATACTGGGACCTTGTTCAGGCCACTGAAGATCATAGTAGGTAGGATGACTAACAGCGACACACCCCATACTGTCAGGTTAATTAGCTTGGCTATGCGGGGCTTCCGCCATTTTGTGGACTTAATAGGGTGGACCACAGCCAAGTACCGATCGATGCTCATCACCATCAGACAGAAGATGCTGGTGAATTGATTGAGAGAGTCTGGGAGAGGGTAGAGGAGAGAGAGTGGGGCAATGGAGAAAGACAGGTGAGAGGAGGATATCTATTAAGTAACAGCATCAGTAATTGTTCTCTTTATTAAAACTGGAGGTGAACTAAGTGTAATAAAGGCTGTTAGTAAGACTACAGTCTAAATATTCATATACTTAAAGTTCAACATAAAACACTCTTATTAGTCATTTTACGTTAAAGCTGAAGATACTGCCAGGAGATGGTTAGCTTAGCCTAGTATAACCGGAAACAGGGTAAAACAGCTAGCCTGGCTATGTCCAAAGTTTTAAAAAATTTCCACCTACCAGCACCTCTATAGATTGTTAACAAGTTATACTCTATCATTATAGTCCAATCCATACAAAGTGTAAAAAACAACAGCGCAACAACACATTTTTTGACTTTTTGATCTGGTAAAACAAGCAAGATGCACTGTATTAATTAGTGAGCTTTGGTAGACTAATTTTAGAGCGAGGCTAGCTTTTCTTCAAGTCTGTTCGTAAACTAAACAACCTCCTGGCTGTAGCTTTATATCTAATGAACATATATAAGAGTGGTATTGATCTTCTGATTTAACTTCCGGCAGAAAAGCACATTTTTGGAGTATTTCAATGTCAAACTATTCCTTTAGATTAAACAAAAACTTCAATTTCCAACTGAAGTCTTAACATTTCCAAAAGTGAATATGTTTGTCTATCTTCTAATTGCAACCATGGAAGAGGATAATAACCCTAAAAGTAACACTTCTCCTGCTTTCTGAAGTGCACCGTTAACCTTCTGCTCAACACCTACCTACAGTCATGATCACCCTGCAAAGCACCTCTCCAAAGGGCCAGTGCACCAGTGCCAGCTGCAGGGCAATGAACGGCAGGCTCATCATGCACAGAACATCTGCCACCGCCAGGTTCAGGATGTAGATGTTGGTCACCGTCTTCATTTTAGCGTAGCGCAGGATTACATAAATGACCAAGGTGTTGCCGCACAGCCCCACGGCGCATACCATGAAGTAGATTAAGGTGATGACCACTGAGCTTGTCTTGTCCTGGTGAGGCTCACGTGTCTCTGTGATGTTCAGGTCCAGGTCAGACTCATTCCCCTGGATGTAGCTGTCGTACAGGAGGGGCTCAGGGATAGAAATGTTGGGGGGAGTCGGGAGAAAGGGCCACTGATCCAAGGCCATGATGGCTGGGGTGGTGTTTAGGCTATCAAAGGGCTACAAGTGGGTCCGAGATAGCGAAGGGTAAAGGTGCAATCACAAAGGGGTTTGGAGAAGGTAGATATTATAAGGGTAAAGGGACTTCAGGTGGAAAGTTCTAAGATAAGCCTGGGGTACTGGGATTTTTAAACTATGGGGTCTCAGGGTTTGGGGTTCTGGGGATTGGGATGACTGGGGATTTTCATTAACGAGGAACCGCAAGTATCACATCCCAGCTGTAGAGAAACAGTAACAGAAGACAGATCTATGGAGAGGGAGACACGAGACAGAGGGAGACAGAGTGAAAGAACAGTAAGTATGACTGAGAAACAGAATATTTCCTTTAACAAAAAATAATAGTCCATCAAGATCCATGGCAACAGTTGCAAGGTTACTTTACATAATGGCTTTCACGCCTTCAATCAGGCAAAAATGTAAAATATTCTCTCTAAAGAATACCTCAACACTACATTCCCGTCACTGCAAGCATTTGCAGACATGTAGGAGATTGTCAAAGCCAGCCAAGTCCAAATTTTGGACATGATGCTTTCTAAAAATAACTTTTACCCATTGTCTCCTTCATTTGAGAAACACATCAGAGAAAACCCAGAAAACATCGGCAGGTCAAAGGTGAAACGTAAACCCAAAGTACTGGAGCTTTTTGGTTTGTTCCTGAGCCAACAGCCAGCAGGACACCTTACATCACTCAACCCAAACACACACAACTTTTTATGTGATGACATTCATTTACATTTAGGGAGGAAGATATCTAGTTTAAAATTTCACAGAGGCGTGCAGGCGTGGGTGACTACAAAACTCCTCACGACTTCCATTTTAGTGTCATATTTTTATTGGATATCAAAGATTTCAGCCAGATCTCATCTGATCTTACGCTGTTTTCTCACTTTCTAACTCAGTCAAGAGCATATATGCTAAACTGAGCCCAGATCAGATGTGTGCATATGTGTGTTTGTGAGTCTGCCTCCCCCATGTATGCATACATGCAAAAAGGTGCGCCTAAGCGAGAGACGGCGAGGGCACTGTGCTGCCAGAGACTAATGTTTATTCAATTGATCTTGGGGACAAACAGCTCTGACACTGTGGAAGGATCACTCACTCCCCCACTGCAGTGACAGCAAACGGCTCAACGGGGACATTAGTCCAGTTCTTGCTTTCATAATTTATCTGAAATACATGTGATTGGCACATGTGGACCCACTTTGGACAGTCCACTTTGTGCTAATGAGGGGTATTGAGAGAAGGGGTTGGGTACAATTACTTGTTATCACAGATAATAACAGCATACTTGTATCTACATGTGGTGAATGTGAGTCCATTCAAAGGTTCGTCTACTGAAGATAATTGTCATTTTTATTCATCTACAAAGTGTTTCTCCTTGATAAATTGATTACACATTTCATACAATGTAAAATAAAATTATCACAATTGCCCATCAGTAATTACCAAAGCCAAAAAGGATGTCTTTCAACTTTATATTTTATCACCATAACAGACAAATACCCAAAGATATCTGAGTTTTAAAGACTAAAACAATAATTTTCGACATTGTCACACAACACTCTGGCAAATACTACTCCTCTAGTGGCCATTCACCTTTGAAACAATGGAGGTTTGACCATTTCCAAATGGCTACACGCAGTAACCGGTTTGCTGCGTACTACGTATTTGACTCAGACGGCTACAAAGGTGGCAATCTGCAATGTGTCTCAACCTGATCTCCTAACCAGCCTAAAACTTATGAGTCTAAGATAGTGTGTTTTTTAGATGCCAAAATTATCAACCAGCAGTTTTAGTTTCTCACCCTTAAGAGAAATTACATGGCACTGTATACATATCATTTTAAGGGAATGCATTGGATGTAAGTGTAGTCAATTTTCAGATTTAACTGCTGGCTGATTTGGCTCACCTGCAGTAACTGCGACAGGAATGCCAGACCCCAGCACTGATAATGAAAACAACCATATAGACTAAATGTAATTACATTAAAGGGTAATTGCTGAAAAAATTGCCATAAATATTATTTTTTTTAAAACAGGGTCTGGTTATATGCAAATCTTTAGGGATTATCACAAAGTGCAAAGTTCTAAATCCACAAAAACAATCTCTATCATCCTTTACAAACAGATATCAGTGCAGCTCCATTATAGGCATATGTGCTTGTGTGTGTGTGTGTGTGTGTGTGTGTGTGTGCGCGCGCGCGCCAGTGAGTCAGTAAGTGAGAGAGCTACAGGGGAAAGTGCTCGCAGAAAACCAATCTACTCCAATAATACATCCACTAATAAAGGGATTTACAGTATTATTTGCTAGCAGGAGGCACAGACTAATTACTGTATGAGAGTCAGTATTATTCAGTAACATCTTAGTTTAGTAGTTTAATTATAAAGCAGGGTAATTGTAATATTAAGTGTAAAGGAGAATTTAGTGGTCTATTAAAAGTCTTGCAAAAGAAAAAGTCTAATCGACTACTTGAGACTCAGAAAAACATAAATTGCAGGATGGATGTGAGGAGCAGCTCAGCACTGACTGTGTGAATAGATGAAGTGATGCCAGGGAAGCAGCTTGATACAGCCTCACACTAACCTGCAGGCTGTGTGATAAATGTCCAGCTCAACAGGAGACTTTTTTTCATTCACAGTAAAGCTGGGACTCTCATCCGATAATGAGCAGGTTGGCTTATCTTTCTTCTCGGGGACAACTGTGACATATAATGACAACTGCAGGCATCAAACCTTTGACCTCTGAATTGAAAGACAGACCCCTTTACTCCCTGACATCTTTCCTAGGCAATTATTTCCCTTCGACTTAATTACGGGTTTCTCCACTGGAGATGAAAGAGCACTCATCTACCATCCTCTCATACCAAAAGGCAGAAACCGATCTCAGACTGCGCGTAAAGCACATGTTTGTGGGTTTTAGATGGAGTTTTACACCGTTTTTTTTTCTCTCCAAAATGTCATCTGGCTGCCAATAACTAAATAACCACTGCGCCATGATTTGGCACGCGTGTTCATGATAGGTTTAATAAAAATTTAACTTTTCACATACAAAATAGAGCTGACTGCACTACAGCGCGCAAAAACAAACCAAAGTCCACAAAGAAATGCCTGTGGGTGAAGACAAATTGAATCAGCTCCACTAAAAATCAATCAATCAATCAATCAATCAATCAATCTTTCTTAATCTTTTCCCCATAACATCACTTACTTTTAAACAGAAAACTTCAAGTCATATCAAGTCCATCGTGGCAAGGTGTCCTTCAGCAGAGAATACGCAATCCATCCGCTCCGAAGCGGCACTGACCACCTAGAAAGCTGAATCCAGCCAGCCTCTCCATCCACCTGCTCTCCCACTGTTACGCACGGCGCAGGCGATCAACGGCCCACTCGCCCCCTTCACCAGAGCTGGTGGTTGTACTACGTCTCTCAGGTCATTTTACCTCCAAGAAATAGTCTGCGTTTGTTAACAGAAACTTTCGCCGAATGACCACGTCTAAAAAAAACGCCGTAGTGCGCTGCGTCCAAGCGGAGAGTCTTGGCACCGAATCCCCCCGCGACAAGAAACCGGAGCGGCAGGACGCGCGACTGCACCGGCGAGAGAGAGAGAGAGAGAGAGAGAGGGGGAGAGAGAGAGAGAGGGAGAGGGAGAGAGAGAGTCACCCTGTGTGCGTCGGTGTCCTGCAGATTGCTGATTTTGAGTCACGCATATGTGTTGGCTCTATTTCTGGTGCCTTGTATGATTAAGATTATCATTAAGAGCGCAGTTCTACAGCATGTATTTAGCAAATGTATCAAGATAAAACAATTATAATTGGAATATTCAATGTAGCACATACCTGAACTTGCATCAGTGACAAATGTTTTTCCTTACTGGACCTTCAGATGCATCAATAACGTTTTTTTTTTTATTCTGCCAGAATACATGCAGAGAAAGAAAACATCAATCCCAGCTGCAAGACAGGATGATGCCGCAATTACATTAGTCTTTTCCCAAATCCATCAGCTTCCACTGCAATTATTTCAAGTGTTATCCAGGCCTTCCACATGCTGATCTCAGTCAATGGTGCATATTCTTGTCAGCCAACAGGGATGACACTCAGATCGGGGGATGAAGCCAATCCAACAGTCCCTCTTCCGTCTTTATAAAGGAGGAGTTATCAAGCAAGTGCAGATGGCCAGTATCTTCCACGACCTCTCAGCGCAGAGCTCCATGAGAAAATGTCCTGCCACTTCTCTCAACATAGCAACACAAAAGTGCTGCTATTATTACTACCAGCTGTTGTCCTATCAAAGATTAATAGTTCTATTTATGCCCAAAATGATAGGAGGGACTGAAGCTGCACAGAGGGGGAAACCCAATAAAAGAAGGGTTTGTGTAAGGGTTCGTATCTTCAGTTATCCTGTGCAAAAATCCCCATCCATGTAAATCAGTGTACAGTCACGAGGGTTACTAGTCCAGGTGTGTGTTTGCTGTGCTGAGGTTTGAGGTCAACAAGTTCTCTTGGTGAGTAACTTTACAGCCAACAGTCAGTAGGTTTAATCTAGCATAGCTGGGAACTGGGAAACATCTAACCTGGCGCTGGTCAAAGGTAACAGAATCTACCTACCAGCATCACCTCTACGGAGCCCCATAGGGGACATGGTGGAGAAAATAAAATACATAGCTAGCCAAAGTCAAACTGAAACTCTTTCCATTGCTCAGGATTTACTGTTCCCCAAAGGTATAAAGCAATGACCAGAGGTACTTTTTTTTCTCAACCAATTTATTTCTTTTCTCCCCCATGTCCCCTTAGGGGCTCAATAGTTTTCAGACAGAAGAAAAAGCAATTGTTTGCCACGTGTATTTCATATTTGGCAGCATGTGGCGTGTACTGAAAATCATCATTTCAGAGTTTATCCGGAGCGGCAAGTTTAACTTGGCGAGCAGATCGCTAGCTGTTGTGGTCTCTCTTTGGGTTTCTTACTTGACGAAAACTATTATTGGTGATTTGTTAATCATTATCGGTTAACCAGTGTCATGAGGCTGGTTATCACCTGTCTCTATTAACCCTGGGGTTTCTAGCTACAAGAGGAAGTGGCGGGTTGTTAACAGCTACACTACAAGCCACGTAATCAGAACCATGAATGAAGTATAGAGATGAGATAAAACGCTCAGGTGATAGGCCTTATACTCGCAGGAAAAATCAGTTACAGTGACAAATAGAATATAATCACATAACTATAACATAATGAGAAGTTTTAGAAATGCTAAAAATCATTTTAAAATATTAAAAGTAAAGCTCAAAAAGAGTGTGGATAGTGGATGATGATGAGAATGTGCTGCACATAAAGAGCATATCAGTGTGTCTATTGGTCCTTATTACTTACTTAATTGTAAACTTTTGTCAGGATCCTGTAGAACTGATGACTGTTTCATCAGTGACCAGATAAGTCATTGGTTGGCTATTGACACATTTTGATGTGATACTCTGAAAGTGAACCTGCTCTACAGCCCATGCAGCAAAAACACCCACTCAGTTCACCCACTCACTTAGAATGACCTGTCTATTTTTGGACCATAATTTACTAAATGAACTTCATGCTGTATTGAAGAAGACTTGAAACTAGAGATTGAGCCCATAAACCTATTAGGAAACTGTTTACTGAGCTACTAAATCAAGTGAGAAGGCAGCTTATTTCTCCATAAGACTGTATGGTATCTTTTTTTATTGCAGCCAATGGAGTTGCCCCCTGCTGGCCATTACATAGAATGCAGGTTTAAGACACTCTGGGGTTGGCTTCACTTTACACACCCGGAAGCTCTGTCCATTATATATACTGGCAATACGTGCAGATTTTTGCTCAGATTGAAACATTTTCATCTCGCGTCTTCACTTCAAATTGCATCGCGCTGGGGGAATTTTGAGTCTAAAGAACTTTGGTCTAAAATTTATGTCTGAACGGTAAGACTAGATTTAGAAACCAGCGATTTTTAAAAGTTGGGGATTAAACAAAAAAGATGAACAGGTTCATTTAGCTTTAGAGGTGCTGGTAGGTGGATTTTGTTATGTTTTAGTCAAGGTAGGCAAGCTGTTTCTTTAAACTAATCTAGGTTAACCTCCTGCTGACTATAGTTTTACAGTGAATTGTTTCCCAAAATCTCAAACCCTTCTCCAGTACTGGTAGAGTACTATAGGAAGCAATAGTTTTCTACATTGTGCCTCCCACAACAACATTTACCTAAAGCTCTAATCAACAAGATTCATGGGAAATTTCCCATGAATAAAACAGCTCTAGTCCGCTGTGTGTGTGATTAGCAAATCAGTTCTCATTTCAATAAAATGGCTGTTTTTAAAATGTATTTTACTGCTCAATGCCACCACCCACAGAGTATCCTGCTGAAAGAAAATAAACAATGTAAATGAAAATTGTCAAAGCTGGAACCCGAGAAGCAAGTGCTGCTTTCTGGGCCATAATCTCATCTGGATAATTGGATGTTTAAAACACAGCACATTGGGCTTTTAACTAGCTGATACATAGTATAGTGAATCACAAACTTTCTCTTTGCTCTCCAACACACATTAGCCTTGAGTGTCATCAACAACTCTGCACTTGGCCTTCAACCCTGACACGCGTGTGAGTCAATAAATAAAGCCTAGTTTAAAGGATAAAGGTCCATTCAAGATAAGGCTTAAAGATCAGTCAGTTTCTCTCATTCTTTCTTTTCTTATGCCTTGCCTATGCAGGAAAAGCAATATGTCAGCAGCACAAAGCTGCCTAGAAGCTTTATTTCTCATTTAGGTGCTCAAGTCCATGATTGTATACTAATGGCTATGAGGTTTATCAAATCTGTTTGAACAGATCCAGGACAGATGCTGACAGAGAACTGTAGCTGCTGACGGACTGTTGTGCTGTGTAGACAAGGTGTTACTGGAAAGAGTTAAGCAGCTAGAGAAAAGTGTCAAGCCAAATATGCCTTGTTTTCCTTCTGAAGGCCTCTTGCCTGTTATCCTGTCATGAGCTATTCTTCTGACTTCTTCTCAGCCAACTTTACATTACATGGCCCCTGGCTTACTAACCACACAAACACATCTGCAATGTGTGACTGATTTGATGCTGCTGCTGCTGCAAAACACAGAACCTTGATGCTGTGAAACTCTTCCAGGGAGAAAGTAAGCATTCATTGTGACATGATTTATCTGCTGTTTATCGCCTTGATTCCTGGTGACGGAGCAGCGTTGCAGTACATAATATCACACACATTATGTGAAGCCCCTACCGCCGAAGGCAAATGTGAAGGTACGGGGCGTTAACTGGATTACACAGAATGGGCAAACAAAAACATAATGAGTAGTCCTCGAGATCATAGAGCTTTGAATATTTATTTGAATATTTTTATACCTGAGTTTCTTTCCAACCAGTGTTACAAGGTCTCTCATCCGTACATAAAAATCCAAGGCCACTAGGGCCCCATCTCTCCAAACTTGTTCCCCTATTCCTTCTGTTAGAGCAGTCTATAAACAACTTTAAAAATCTGAAAAACTCCTTTTTACCAGCTTGCTTTCTCTGCAATGCGGCTGTAATTTATTCCTCTATATTATTTGTATATTATATATATATATATATATATATATCGACTTCTACTATACAGTGATGCAAAAATGTTTGCATGTACATTTACCTTTGTATCTGTATTTGTGTATATAGTGATACTTTATTAGTACTATTTCACTGTTTACTTGATTTTTCTTCATGTCTTTTATTGTTTAAGGTTTGGTTTCAACTTTGTAATCATTAAATCAACAAGTGCTATATAAATGAAGTTTATTTGATGCCCATGCAGCTCTTATAGTTTGTAAGTGATGTGTATGCACACAGAAGAGCCTGTTTATTTAGTTTGTGTGTGTGTGTATTTTACTCCTGCTCTGTTTCTCTCACCTGTGAAGATGAACATTTAAAGGTGAATGTCATGACCACGTCACGCTGTCCTGCTCTTTTAAATGTTTGCCGTCTCAAGTACAGATTTAGCAAAGGTCCCTCAAGTGCCACTCATTTGGAAGGCTGGAAAACAGTATAGCAGCTAGGCATGAGTATTGTTAAGATATTAATGTTACTACTGCTACTACTTACTGCTTATCAATCCGTTACTTTAACTCTTACTGGTTCTTTTTGTTATTTCTAAGGATTATACTGTCTCAGACAGTCACGCCAAATATTCTAGTTGATGTCCAGCAATACATGTTTTCTTTCTGAAGTACTGTCCTCCTTCGAAACAAAATCACTGATGAAGCGCACTTGTAGTAATTTAGCAACAGCCTAAATGTTAATGATAGCCTATAACGTAAACTAGCAATCTGATGTGACCTTTCCATCGGCCCGGATTGAGGCTCAAGCGGCTGATCTGTGCACACTGAAATAATGACAGTTCAGCTGATTCTCTGACCATTCCAGATTGAACACACATCAAAGGCTCTGAAAGAGAGATCTCTCTTTTGGATTGTGAATTTAAAAAAATGCGTCACAGAGGAATGTCTTCATTGGACAAGAAGGACCTGTATCCAGTCCAGACCAGATCCAATGGTAACCAGGTTTATGGAAATGTATCCAGATTATATCATATCATATCATATCATATCATATCATATCATATCATATAAAAATAAAAAATAAAATCTGTTAAAGATCCTTGTCTGTATCACCATCTTGTACTACTGTATTTTTGTGCATTTATTCCAGAGTAATTTTTATATTTCTCTAATACCCACAGCAGAACCAATAATGTCTGCCCTTATTGATAATAGTTAAGAGACACTAGATGTTCAGACATCACAAATACTGACAGAAAGATACCTGAATGTTTGTGTGTGCATGAGTGTGTCTTGTTGTTCAGACACACCTCTCTTTTATATTGGCCTTATCTTTTTTGTGATGTAAAAAAGTATTTCTTCTCTCTAGCATGGCGTGTTGGTGTGTCTGAAAAAGGGTAGTGTGAAAGGTTTTCAGCCTGTGGCAAGTGATGGGCAGTGACTGTCTTGTTTTCAGTTGAGAGTTCATTCCACCCAGAACACAGGAGAGCCTTGGGCAAGATCAGCGACCACAGGGACCTCAGAGTGACAGGGCGGCCAATCACCTAGAGGCAGAGGAGAGCAATGGTCGCACCAGAGTGTCGAGTTAGAACATGGCTTGGAGGAGGGAATAGTTCTCTTTACTGTATAATATATAATATATATAATAGGAATAAATTATACACTAAAAAAATTAAAAGTAAAGCAAAATGGACATAACACTCTCAGTCAGGTCTTTAATCATGTCTCCTGAGAAGACATTAAGGATGATGTAGGATTTAATGGTATCTAGCGGTATAGATTATGACACACTTGCTTCCCC